ATGGATGGATGGATGGACAGATGTTTGTTTGGATGGAGGGAGGGAGGATGGGTGGATGAGTGATTGTATGTATGTATATATGTTTGGATGGATGTTTGGATGGATGGATGGATATTTGTTTGGATGGATGGATGGACGGGTGGGTGGGTGTCATGCCCCTAGTGGAGACTGACTGAGCAGTCAGAGGAGGACCCAGGCCCATCCCCTATCCATCCTAGGACATGCAGGGAGGAGAGGATCAGGGTAAAACGTGGTCTACTTGGGAGGAAAGGGCCATGATCCTCTTCATGGGTTGCAGGTGTGAGATTTGCATAAGAGTTTGGACCTGTGTGCTAACAGATGCTGGAGACAAATTAGTGTTTTATTCCTAAAGAAGGTTTATCGTGGTTGGCGTTCTTCCAACGGACTGTCCCTGGTTATCTTCCTGAAGTTGGCCATTATCTATCCTGGTCTGTCGTGGAACTTTAATCAGTGCGGTTTTGTTTTTTTGTTTTTTTTTTGCTTCATTATCGGCTTTTTGACGTGAGCTGCGTTTCTTTCCTTTGAAATGTTATTTTGAAAATAGTTTACTCCTCCGCTGTGAACAATTAAGCAGTGAAGCCAAGTTGAAGGCATTAAAGGACTTTTATTTACGCTTGGGTTTTTGTGATATTTCTGATATACTCTGGGTCACCACAGTTGGGTGGGTGGGTGGATGTTTGTTTGGATTGCTAGATGGAAGATGGATGGTGTTCTGACCCAAACCCTTTTCCAATAAGACAAACACGAACCAAAGGGAATAGGAACCTAAACTGGCTGCTGCAAACTAATTAACTTTGATAAGCACAAGCCTCGCCAAAACTGTGTGAGGCTGCTATGAATAAAAGATAAGGTTACCTAGAAATATTTTACAACACAAGAGTCTTCAAATACCAACTAAGATACTGCAATGTCCATGAGGCTCGAGTTTCAAAACATCTTTGCTTCCTGCAAAGAACGTCTGATTCACAGCTGGCTTTTATCTTCTTGAAGGAGGGGCCACTACCTTGCAGCCTTGCTCCCGAGTTGCCCGTGCTGTTGTAACTGTTCTTTCTTCTGAGCAATCCTGTGCACACGTGCACTTGGCACAGGCTCCTCAGGAACCTCCTCATCACTGCTGCCAGCCCCCACAATCTCTGAAGGCAGCAGCCCACTCCCTGATGGTCCTGGCCCCTCATCTGAGTCCTCGCTGTCCTCAGCCATCCGCACCTGCTGCTGGCTAACCACAACAGATTGATGGGTGATTGTATTTATGGATGTATGTATGTTTGGATGTATGTTTACATGGATGTGTGCATGGATGGATGGATGTTTGTTTGGATGGATGGATGGATGGATGGATGGAGGATAGATGGATGGGTGATTGTATGTATGTATATATGTGGTTGGGTGGGTGGAGGTTTGTTTGCTTCAATGGATGGATGGATGGATGTTTATTTGTATGGGTGGGTTGGTGTGTATACACACACACACACACACACAGGGGGGAGGGAGAGACAGAGAGAAAAGGCAATTATTTCCTTTTCCTTCAGTCTTCTATTCTCAAGGTCAAAACCATCTGCTTCCTTCAAACCTCTCTTCTCCTAAAACTTAACTTTTAACCCCTTGATCATACCCATCCTCCTTCTCTCTTCCTCTTCCACTTTCTATAAATCCTTTCTTAGTGGTGCCCACTGTATGTATTGATGTATACATGTATGTATGTTTGGATGGAGGATGGATGGATGGGTGGATGAGTGATTGTATGTCTTTGTATGTACTTTGCATAGAAATTGAATTCAGCCAAGAGAAAAGGAAGTAGACAAAAAAAAAGAAGAGAGAGAAGACGACGGAAGAAGAACCAAGAGGGAGGAGTGGAGTTGGAAGAGATGGCTTCCAGCTTTTTGAGTGGGATTTCTGGATTAGGTGACCGGGGTCTGGATCTTACCTGCTGGGTGGCCCCTAGATTGCTTTCCTGGCTAGTTTCAGCCAGAGATTGAGTGAGCTCCGGAGTTGAAAATCCTGCCCCAGCTGCAACACCCTTCCTTACCCCGTTGGCCAGGTGAGATCTTCCTTGCCATGGGTCTTCCTTTCTGAGGGCAAAAGGGTCTTTGAGGTCCTCTTCCTTCTCGCCACCTTCAGGTTCAGCCTCTCCTGAAGTCTCTTCCGATTCGCCACCGGCCCCTTCTTCTTCAGCCGCCATTTCGGGGTCTTCCACTAGAATAAAGACACAACTGGTGGGATGAACATCTTTGTTTCAAAGGGGCTTTTGTTTTTTCCTCCCAAAAAAGACAACTGGACCTTTCTCGGTTCTTTGTTTTTTTTTTCCCCCTTTGAAATCGTTTCGCTTCGCATCCAAGCAGCTTCTTCCGTTCTGAAGAAATGAAGAAGCTTTCTGGATGAGAAGGGAAATGTTTTCGAAGAAAAGAAAACCAAGAAAATCCAGTTGCCTTTCGGGAAAAAATAGAATCTTTGGGACAACCCTGACTTGGATGATTGAGAATCTACCTAGACGATGAACCTCAAAGCAACTTTCATCGTTGAGCGTAGCACGTGGTAATCACATCAGCCCTCCTAAAATTCTGCTTTCGAGTCATGGTTGAGGCTCAGCCAACCATGGCTGTCTAACAACACCTTCAACCCTCTGGGTCGCAAGATCGAGAATTGCCTCTATTGATGGGTGGCAAACTTCAATGACCTAAGCTTAAGACTGAAAATCAGGCCTGTTGTCACTTCTATTCTGCTCTACGGAGAGTTGGTCTCAGACAGGAAGCCACTTGAAGACATTAGGTGCAGCGGTGGGATTCAAATATTTTTTTTTACTACCGGTTCTGTGGGCGTGGCTTGGTGGGTGTGGCTTGGTGGGCGTGGCAGGGGAAGGATATACTGCAAAATCCCCATTTCAGAGGTGGTATTCAGCAGGTTCTGACCACTTCTGGAGAACCAGTAGTGGAATATTTGAGTACTTCCAAACACCACCTCTGACTGGCCCCGCCCCCATCCATTCTCTGCCTCCCATTAAGTCCCAGGTGATTGGCTGGGTCTCCTTTTGTTGCCCTGCACAGGAGAACGGAGCTGGAAAGCAGGTTATAGTGGAATGGGGAGGGAATGGGATTTTTGCAGTAATCTTCCCCCAGGAGTGGGGAGGGAATGGAGATTTTACAGAATCCTTCCCCTACCACGCCCACCAAGCCACGCCCACAGAACCGGTAATAAAAAGATTTGAATCCCACCCCTGCCCCATTCCCTCCCCACCCGACTCACCTGCTTTCCAGCTCCGTTCTCCTGTGCAGGGCAACCAAAGAAGACCCAGCCAATCAGCTGGGATTTGGGAGGCAGAGAATAGATGGGGGCGGGGCCAGTCAGAGGCGGTATTGGCCTGTTCTCCGAACTACTCCAAATTTCCGCTACCGGTTCTTGAGAACCGGTCAGAACCGGCTGAATACCACCTCTGATTAGAAACATTTGAAATGTGGGTTTGCAGGCAGCTGTTATGTCTAAGTGGCTTGACAAAATCAGAAATGAGGAGGTGATAAGCCACCTGGGAAAAGCCAAGGGAAATTACCCAAACCATTAAAAAGAGAAAGTTAGAATATTTTTGGTCATGGGATGAGACAGCCGGAAAAATACGGCATCCTACGCCTAATCCTCCAGGGAAAGATTGAAGGCAAACGCAGTCTAGGCAGAAGAACATCAGGGCTTCAAAATCTAAAGAGACTTCTGGTTTGGACAAAACTCAGGAGCACTTTTGAGCTGTTGATAAAAATAGGAATTGCCAATACGATCGCTAACGGTCTGATGACAGATATGGCACCAGAAGGAAGAAGCTTCACCTGGGAAACCATGTTGCCCTGAGAAGCTGAAGGTCCTATCCTTCTGTCCCATTCTAAGGCCCATTCTTTCCACTGACTTCACCCTGTGGGCGCAGCATTGGTGTGATTTGGGTGGAAAATGCCACCGGGTGACATTCAAATATTGGCTTCTTTGTTGCTGTTGTGGCTCGCCCGAGGCTAATGGAGTTGGCAGCAGATTCAGACAGTGAGGAGTTTGTGTGTGGTGGTGGGGGGACATGGGCCAGTCCTGGAGTCTGGGGAAGGCTCTGACGAAGGCTCTGTGTTGGAGGCAGAGATGGGGCCAGGGCCATCCGACAGTTATCAGCTGCCTTCGGAGTCAGAGATCAGTGGGGAAGAAGAACAGCTGGAGCCTGTTCCCAATGGGCACATGCGCAGAGCTGTCAGAAGAAGGGTACAGTTAAGGAACAAGAGTTGACTTGGGAGTAAAGGCTCAGGTGGACGGTGAATGGCCCCTCCTGTAGGGAATAAAGAGGAGGGAAAGGGGAGTGGGGTTTGCAGGAGACAATTAGTTCATTTAATTAAGGTGAAGATTTGTTCCTGACTCCTTGCCAAGTATTTTCTGGTACAGCATTGCGCTTCGAAGCTATCGGCCTGGCAACTCCAAGCCTGATAAGGTCTGTGCTTGTAAATCACCCTTGAAAGACTGTTTGCCAGGACTTTGTTGCAGATGAATTCACCGTAAACTAAATGAAAGGGGTTTATTAGGATGAGGAGTTCGGCTTCAGAACAGTTGCATGGACCTCTCTGGCAATTAGGAACTTCATGCTACTCGTCATACTCATCAAATCCCAGATTTACATGGCTATTTGGGGTTTTGGGAATATCCTTTAAGTAATATATATGGATTTCCCTTCCTAAAACATACACCTAGTGGTAACCTTACTATTGGGGCCAGGAAAATTCCATCTTATTCTCTTGGGCTTCTAATAGTATTAACCTTGAGACCACGATTGGCCAAATAGAATACAAAATAACAAAATTGGAAGGGACCTTAAAAGGTCTTCTAATCCGACCTCTTGCTCAAACAAGAGACCCTTTACCAGGGGTGAGCAACGATAGCTCTTTGATGAGCTGTGGAGTTCAATTTCCCAGGATTCCTAAACCGGCCATTCTGGCTCAGGAATTCTGGGAGTTGAAGTCCACAGCTTGTAAGGGGCCCATACTGTAGTTTTATTTATTTATTTTGTCAAGCAGTTACAAGATAACAGGTATAAGTATAAACATAGTTATGAATACATGAAATGGGTAAATATAAGAAAATTAAAAGAAGCAATAGGACAGGGACGGTAGGCACGTTGGTGCGCTTATGCACGCCCCCTACAGGCCTCTTAGGAAAGAGGTGAGGTCAATAGTAGACAGTCTAAGGTTAAAGTTTTTGGGGCTTGGGGAAGAAACCACAGAGTCAGGTAGAGTATTCCAGACATTGACCCACTCTGTTGCTGAAGTCATATTTCCTGCAATCAAGTTTGGTGCAGTTTACCTTGAGTTTGTATCTATTGTTTGCTCTTGTGTTGTTATGGTTGAAGCTGAAGTATTCGTTGACAGGTAGGACATTGCAATGTATGATTTTATATACTGTACATTCGGGGTTGTCCACTCTATTTTGGAAAACTTCCCACAACTTTCGGAGGGAAACTGTTCCACTGATTAATTATTCTCACTGACAGGAAATTCCTCCGTAGTTCTTGGTTGCTTCTCTCTCTGATAAGCTTCCAACTATTACTTCTTGTCCTGACTTCAGGTGCTTTGGATGAAATGTTGAAGTGGTTTACATTTTATTTTATTTTATTTATTTATTTGATTTGTCAATCATTTACAAGATAATAGGTGCAAGTATAAACATGAGTAAGAATACAGGAAATAGGTACAAATAAATGGGGACAATAGGTCAGGGACGGTAGGCACAATGATGCGCTTATGCACGCCCCTTACAGACCTCTTAGGAACGGGGTGAGGTCAATAGTGGATAGTTTGAGGTTAAAGGAATGGAGGTTAGAGGATGTAAACAACAGAGTCAGGTAGTGCATTCCAGGCATTGAGCACTCGGTTGCTGAAGTTGTACTTTCTGCAATCAAGTTTGGAGCGGTTTACATTGAGTTTGCATCTGTTGTGTACTCTTGTATTGTTGCAGTTGAAGCTGATGTAGTCATTGACTGGTAGGACATTGTAGCAGATAATTTTGTGTACTACGCTTGCGTCCAACCATAGGAGGCTTAGTTCAAGGTTGTCCAAAAATTTCAAGCCTGGTGATATATCTTCTTAATTTTCATGCTTGAAGGGCTTTCTCATCACTGAGAATCATTAATTATTTTCCAAAGCAATTGAAGGCCAGACAAGGAATAACAGATGGAAACCGATCAAGGAGAAAGATTCAACTTAGAAATAAGAAGAGATTTTCTGACAGTGAGAGCAATCAACCAATGGAACAGAAGTTGCCTTCAGAAGTTGTGGGAGCTTAATCACTGGAAGCTTTCAAGAAGAGACTGGGCTGCCCTCTGTCAGAAATGGTGTAGGGTCTCCTGCTTGGGCAGGGGGTTGGACTGGATGACCTACAAGGTCCCTTCCAACTGTTATTCTGTCTAATCAGTAGCACAGCTTGTCTCCCGAAATTGTGAGGTCTTCCTCACTGGAGGTTTTCAAGAAGAGACTGGACAAACATTTATCTGAAATGGTATAAGGACTCCTGCCTTGGGCAGGGAGGGTTGGACAAGAACAGTGGATGCCAACCTGTGGTCCATGGTCCACTGGTGGTCCATGAGAAAATTTTGGTTCGATATTTACATACATGGTGTGTTGTAGGTTAATTTTGTGAATTTGCTTGCTAGCAAATTCTATATGACAGGCTCAGGAAGCCGATGGCAGAAAGATAGATCTCTGAATGAATCTGTGATTCTGTGAGCAACTCAATCTGCCTGCCTGATTTGCCTGATTTGGTGTAAAAGTTGCTCTTTTTTATAAAAAATTCATCATTTACATAAATATTTATAATATGCCCAGCCAGTCACATGATCACCAAGCCACACCCACAAATTAGGTCACAACCACAGAACCAGTTGTTAAGAAATTTGAATCCCATTCCTGCCTCTGTGTGTGTGTATGTGTGTGTGTGTGAGAGAGAGAGCGAGAGTGAGAGAGGTTAGATCAGATCTCTCTCTCTCTTGATCTCTCACTCTCTCTCTCTCACCATCAGCAAGCCACCGTCAGTCAAAATTCATATTAGTGGTCCCCAGGATTTAAAATTACGAGTTTAGTGGTCCTTGGCAACCCCTGGGATAGAAGAGCTCCAAGGTCCCTTCCAGCTCTAGGGTCCCATGATTCTATGACCTTTAATGAAATCCAGTTGATAGAGGATTCGTTCCTCCGCGTTGAAATCCACCGTGTAGTGTTCCATGTTGTCGTATCCCGATTCCAGGACTTCTGGCTGGCAGCTGTGGCTCATCTCCACGACCCTGAAGGAAGGAGGAGGGACAAAGTTACGGATGGAAACCTTTGAATTTTCTTTCTTTCTTTCTTTCTTTCTTTCTTTCTTTCTTTCTTTCTTT